AGTGGATTGCTTGATGCTGACTTTCATTTTGCAAGCAAATGAACTATGCTGCAAGACGAAAGATTCCCTCTTTTTTCTACTCGTGGATAGATGAGAGGGAACGTCCGCGTGATAATTTGAACAGCCGCCGTCCACCATCAGGAATGAATAAATAAATAGTACAAGTTTCTGAAAAGACCGCCGACATTATTCGCTGTCCTGTGCTTGCTTACGAAATTACAGTTAGCGACTTTGCGTTATTTGCACAACAAAAGCTCAAAACGTTTGTTTGACCAATAACAGGCAATTTTGATTTCTGATTTTTTGCAAAGTTCCGGGAGCATTGATTCACCTTTGCAGGCTATTCATTGTTAAAAGACTTGATGAGAGTGTTGACAGGAAGGTTAGTGAGTTTTTAATTACTCCAAACCGCCGGTTTGTTTTTGTGTCGCTAAAGTGCACTAATTTGCAAAGTACGTGCTTTATGTTGTCTAGTTGTATTGTTTTGATCAAAATGCTTTAAATTAAGTCACTCTTGGTCTCATTCTTCAGCAGCTGAAAATCTAATTGCGCATAATATTTTTTACGGCCCAAAAACGACAAAAAATCAATTTCATGATCTTTGCGCAAAGCTCTTTGTTTGATTCAAAACGGATACTTAACATGTATTAGAACCAGAAATGCGAACGTGAATCTTCCGTAAGAAAGCTGAAATGCCGGGTGTTCATTTTACACAATCGCTGGTTTTCAGTGTCAAAAATAAAAATAGGTCGGCAGAGCGTAACACACATAAAGACTACTGGTTCTGTGACAGATGTGTAAACAGAACTGATTTCAGCTCCTGAAACGACTCCCACCGTTAAAACCCACCCACCCCCCATTTTAACGGTGGGAGTCGTTTCAGGAGCTGAAATCAGTTCTGTTTACACATGCTGTGCACAGAACCAGTAGTCTCTATGTGTGTGTGACACAACATGAAAAGAAGGGTCACGCGTATAATACAAAGTGTCACAGAAACCGAAGCATAGGAGCGCATTTTTTTTTTATCGACAACCAATTTTTCGACAACCATTTTTGGAGAAAGGACACATCTTTTGG